GTTTCTTTCATAGATGTGACACCGGCAATAAGTAGGCACATTCTAATTAGTTCGTAAATTAATTAATTTAAATACGTATCTGGTCAGTGGTAAACCCGTGAATGGTCTCATGATTATAATCTGGTCAGTGGTAAACGCGTTAATGGTCGCATGATTATAATCTGGTCAGTGGTAAACGCGTTAATGGTCGCATGATTATAATCTGGTCAGTGGTAAACCCGTTAATGGTCGCATGGTTATAATCTGGTCAGTGGTAAACCCGTTAATGGTCGCATGATTATAATCTGGTCAGTGGTAAACCCGTTAATGGTCGCATGGTTATAATCTGGTCAGTGGTAAACCCGTTAATGGTCGCATGATTATAATCTGGTCAGTGGTAAACCCGTTAATGGTCGCATGATTATAATCTGGTCAGTGGTAAACCCGTGAATGGTCGCATGATTATAATCTGGTCAGTGGTAAACGCGTTAATGGTCGCATGATTATAATCTGGTCAGTGGTAAACCCGTTAATGGTCGCATGGTTATAATCTGGTCAGTGGTAAACCCGTTAATGGTCGCATGATTATAATCTGGTCAGTGGTAAACCCGTTAATGGTCGCATGATTATAATCTGGTCAGTGGTAAACCCGTTAATGGTCGCATGGTTGTAATCTGGTCAGTGGTAAACCCGTTAATGGTCGCATGATTATAATCTGGTCAGTGGTAAACCCGTTAATGGTCGCATGGTTATAATCTGGTCAGTGGTAAACCCGTTAATGGTCGCATGATTATAATCTGGTCAGTGGTAAACCCGTTAATGGTCGCATGATTATAATCTGGTCAGTGGTAAACCCGTTAATGGTCGCATGGTTATAATCTGGTCAGTGGTAAACCCGTTAATGGTCGCATGATTATAATCTGGTCAGTGGTAAACCCGTGAATGGTCGCATGATTATAATCTGGTCAGTGGTAAACGCGTTAATGGTCGCATGATTATAATCTTGTCAGTGGTAAACCCGTGAATGGTCGCATGATTATAATCTGGTCAGTGGTAAACCCGTGAATGGTCGCATGATTATCATCTGGTCAGTGGTAAACCCGTCAATGGTCGCATGGTTATAATCTGGTCAGTGGTAAACCCGTTAATGGTCGCATGATTATAATCTGGTCAGTGGTAAACCCGTTAATGGTCGCATGATTATAATCTGGTCAGTGGTAAACCCGTTAAAATGGTCGCATGATTATAAGCTGGTCAGTGGTAAACCCGTGAATGGTCGCATGATTATAATCTGGTCAGTGGTAAACCCGTGAATGGTCGCATGATTATAATCTGGTCAGTGGTAAACCCGTGAATGGTCGCATGATTATAATCTGGTCAGTGGTAAACCCGTTAATGGTCGCATGATTATAAGCTGGTCAGTGGTAAACCCGTGAATGGTCGCATGATTATAATCTGGTCAGTGGTAAACCCGTGAATGGTCGCATGATTATAATCTGGTCAGTGGTAAACCCGTGAATGGTCGCATGATTATAATCTGGTCAGTGGTAAACCCGTTAATGGTCGCATGATTATATTCTGGTCAGTGGTAAACCCGTTAATGGTCGCATGATTATAATCTGGTCAGTGGTAAACACGTTAATGGTCGCATGATTATAATCTGGTCAGCTGTTGGGCCGTTTGATCAATGTCCGTGTTGATTCTCGTTTGATTTTTGTCCAGTTTTCACAAACTTGCATTTGGATCACACGACACAACGGTTCTTTGTTTTAAATTAAATTTAAAGGAACAATAAATAAGAACATAAACACATTTGATACAGAAATGAATGCATTTTTATTTTTAAACTTGTTATTTTAAGGTTTTGATATAGGCCTATGCTTATTTAAAAAAATATATTTTAAGGTTTTGATATAGGCCTATGTTTATTTTTTTCAGAATAAATTTTAAAATATTCTTTGAAAAACGTATTTGGGTGCTTAGTTTATGTGTAGAAGTCGATCTTTTCCCCCCGTGAACACTACCACTCTTCCGTTTTCTCCGCACTAATTCTTGCCATTCTAATCTCTTCGATTCTTTCAAACAATTTAAAAATATTTACAAGTACATAAATTATGGGATATCCAAACCAAGGTTATAGAAATAAATAAGACACATTTGTGTCCTAATTAACATGATGTTTTAGACTAAAAGCAAATTTAAAATGTTAGCTTAAATGTCATTTAATTAATTTCCATTGAGTAGAGATCATATTTGCTGAACGTTTAGCTAAATAAACATTTGCCCGGCAGATCGGGGTTTGAAAACTGCGGCAGTTAAGCCAGCCTTTGGGACCCATTCACAAAGATTGGCAAACTTGAAGAAAAAAAACTAGGACCTAATCTCGAACTTGCCATAGAAAGTATACACTTGAATCGTGCGTCTGCAACAGCGTGACGCTCGTCCGCCGCTCTCTACATACATTGCCGGAAATAACATTGGTCTAAAAAACCGTTGAATCTACCCTAATGTTTGGCCGGGGTACAACGTCAAACAGTCTGACAGGCTTCTAGCACTGTTTCGAGAAAACTCGACTTAAGGCCGCGTCTCATCCCGTTTGGTCTGTCAGGACTTAGCCGGTGCTGACAAGATACTCGGGCAGCCTTTGGTCAAGTTTTGACCAGCGCGAGCACTCGATTATTCATGGGCTAATAGTCTGACACTCGAGTACCCTCGGCTCGCCCGGCGGTCCTCTAATCGCTGCCATCTATTGCCGGGTAAAACGATCTAATTCGTGTCTCAATCCTACCTCCGTGTTTTCATTCTCGGGATCTGCTGGGCGCCACGCCCCCTTGTGGGGGAGCGCAGGCCCCCCCGTGTTTGTCGGCCCACTTGAGGTGGGTGCCGGTATGGGCTGCTGGTGACACTCGCCAAATACTTGCCCAGGCTAGGGTTACCGCCACCCCGGGGGCTGTCAGCGACTGGGGGGGGGGGGTACGGACCAACAGACGCCCTTTTAGAAAACCCGTTCTGCTGCCTGAAAACTCCAATTTCAGACTAAGTGCTCAATGATCGCTAATGACTGAAGAAAGAAATTCCCGCCAATGGCCGCCTTGACGCCAGTCATTGAGTCAATCGGTCATTTAAATGGGGCGGACTCGTCCACACCAAATTATTGTCATCCAATTAGTGCAGTGTTGAAACATCACTTAATTAGTACCCCGCTAAAACATCTTAGTACAGTGCTAAAACAATAATTAGTGCAGTACTAAAACTTCACTTAATTAGAAAAGTGCTAAAACATCATTAGTACGGTACTAAAACTTCACTTAATTAGAAAAGTGCTAAAACATCATTAGTACAGTACTAAAACTTCACTTAATTAGAAAAGTGCTAAAACAATAATTAGTGCAGTACTAAAACTTCACTTAATTAGAAAAGTGCTAAAACAATAATTAGTGCAGTACTAAAACTTCACTTAATTAGAAAAGTGCTAAAACAATAATTAGTGCAGTACTAAAACTTCACTTAATTAGAAAAGTGCTAAAACATCACTCAACTAAATCAGAGCTAAAACATCACTCAACTAAATCAGAGCTAAAACATCACTCAACTAAATCAGAGCTAAAACATCACTCAACTAAATCAATGATAAAACATGACTCAACTAAATCAGTGCTAAAACATCACTCAACTAAATCAGAGCTAAAACATCACTCAACTAAATCAGAGCTAAAACATCACTCAACTAAATCAGAGCTAAAACATCACTCTACTAAATCAGAGATAAAACATCACTCAACTAAATCAGAGCTAAAACATCACTCAACGAAATCAGAGCTAAAACATCACTCAACTAAATCAGAGCTAAAGCATCACTCAACTAAATCAGAGCTAAAACATCACTCAACTAAATCAGTGCTAAAACATCACTCAACTAAATCAGAGATAAAATATCACTCAACTAAATCAGAGATAAAACATCACTCAACTAAATCTGAGCTAAAACATCACTCAAATAAATCAGAGCTAAAACATCACTCAACTAAATCAGAGCTAAAACATCACTCAACTAAATCAGAGCTAAAACATCACTCAACTAAATCAGAGCTAAAACATCACTCAACTAAATCAGAGCTAAAACATCACTCAACTAAATCAGAGCTAAAACATCACTCAACTAAATCAGAGCTAAAACATCACTCAACTAAATCAGTGCTAAAACATCACTCAACTAAATCAGAGATAAAATATCACTCAACTAAATCAGAGATAAAACATCACTCAACTAAATCTGAGCTAAAACATCACTCAAATAAATCAGAGCTAAAACATCACTCAACTAAATCAGTGCTAAAACATCACTCAACTAAATCAGAGCTAAAACATCACTCAACTAAATCAGTGCTAAAACATCACTCAACTAAATCAGTGCTAAAACATCACTCAACTAAATCAGTGCTAAAACAATTCTTATCCTGTTAGCGCTGGCCGTGAATTGACGTCAGCTTTTAACCAGTGCCTACGTATACGTATGTAAGTGTGTACTTGTGTATGTGTGTACGTACATACGTATGTTTCTGTGTATGTTACTGGTGTACCAATAAATGTATTTTTAGCTGGCAGCCACGTATAAACCTGCAGTAAAGATGACATGTTTTTAAGACGTTCTGGCTCCACTCCAACTTTTATGGTGGCTCCTCCATACTCCCAACATCTTCCTTTCAACAAGTCCCATCATTCAATTTATCAAGGCAAGACTCGGTAAACCATGGCACGCGCCGCTGTTAGACATTGTTCTCAAGATGAAATGATTCTAATCTAACCACAAAACAAACACATTCCAATTTACAATGGGTGGAGTCACCTCGTGTTGTAAATCATGACGCGTATGTCACTCTACTTTACTAGAAACAGGATGTGTAGTTTCTGCTTGACGTACATTTGTGTTGCGTGAGATTTCACCCCACAATTCAGAAGACTTGCACAATGCCACCCTCGGGGAATACTAGAGACAGCTGTGGCGCAACAACCATATAACAATGGTGGACACAGTCAACGGACCCCCAAGCTACAGGGACCCCAAGGTCCAGGGACCCCCAAGGTACAGGGACCCCAAGGTACAGGGACCCCAAGGTACAGGGACCCCAAGGTACAGGGACCTCAAGGTCCAGGGACCTCAAGGTACAGGGGTCCCAAGGTCCAGGGACCTCAAGGTTCAGGGACCCCAAGCTACAGGGACCCCAAGGTCCAGGGACCTCAAGGTTCAGGGACCTCAAGGTTCAGGGACCTCAAGGTTCAGGGACCTCAAGGTTCAGGGACCTCAAGGTTCAGGGACCCCAAGGTCCACGGTCCAGGGACCTCAAGGTCCAGGGACCTCAAGGTTCAGGGACCTCAAGGTTCAGGGACCCCAAGGTCCAGGGTCCAGGGACCTCAAGGTCCAGGGACCTCAAGGTTCAGGGACCTCAAGGTTCAGGGACCTCAAGGTTCAGGGACCCCAAGGTCCACGGTCCAGGGACCTCAAGGTCCAGGGACCTCAAGGTTCAGGGACCCCAAGGTCCAGGGTCCAGGGACCTCAAGGTCCAGGGACCTCAAGGTTCAGGGACCTCAAGGTTCAGGGACCTCAAGGTTCAGGGACCCCAAGGTCCACGGTCCAGGGACCTCAAGGTCCAGGGACCTCAAGGTCCAGGGACCTCAAGGTTCAGGGACCTCAAGGTTCAGGGACCTCAAGGTTCAGGGAAGCCCAAGATTCAGGGACCCCGAGATTCATCAGTAAATAAATCGAGAATCTGGAGATAAAATATTTTTAACATTTCGTTTTACTTCATTATTTTTAAACAGACCAACCGAGAATAGTGTTGAAATTATTCGAGAGGCTCATTAAATATTTACTAAAATAAACCGGGAGTGATCTCCCCTAAACTTTCTCGAATATTCTAATACACCACTACGGGGGATGGTAACTCGGGATATAGACTTCTGGACATGATTTTTAATCCATTTTAAATACTCAAATTTTTACTTTCTCGTATATACGAAGTATAGAGAAAGTATTGTAATCGTGCACAAAAATGACTTGAAATTTTAACAATTTTCACCGTATTACACCTCAGTCCTTCATCACATCCGAAGTATACAGGACTTATTTTAATCGGGCAAAAATTATCAAGACAGATTTATCAAAATTAAGAGGTTTTATGCGTAATCCAGTCTGAAAAACTGGGCTTTGCAATTCTGTCCGTATGTCTGTGTGTCTGTGTGTGTGTGTGTGTGTGTGTGTGTAAACACGACTACTTGTGTACCGTTACAGCTAGGTTGATGAAATTTCATATATAAGTATTTTATCAAAATCGTAGATCCATATCAACTTTTGAGCGATTTCCGATAACCGGAAGTGGTACTTTTCCTACTTTGAATTTTTCAAAAGCCTATAACTTGAGTACTATTTCAGATAGATAAATGAAATTTCACATGTAAGTAAAAGATCTAATTCTCTACCTACTGTTAAATTTTGAGTAATTTCCGTTGACCGGAAGTAGTAATTTACGCTACTTCCGATTTCTCAAAAAACTAATGTAAATTTTTAAAGTACTAATAATATTGCGCACTATTATGCACTTTTTTATTTAGCGTTCACTCGGTGTGCAATTCTTTTGTCTACGAGATTTTATTCTATTTTAAAAACTTTTAAGTATTTAAAATGGATTAAAAATCATGTCTATAGCCCGAGTTCCCATCCCCTGTTATTTTATATAAAAAACTAGGCATGCTGCCCAGCTTCGCTTAGGCTTTCGAAAACATTGAGAATTTGAATGCTTAATTAATTCGCCCATATAAGGCGCTGGTCAGTCGAGGTCAGTTTTGACCCCCTCATCGTAGACTTTTTGGCCAACCGGCCCCCGTGTTCTGTCGCCCCAAGGCAAGATCCTACCAAATTTGAAGCGCCTGCGGCGCCGGGAAGTGCCCTATCGGGCACCCGACAACTTAGCTTTATAGATCATCTAGATCTAGATCTAGAATCTCTAGATCTAGATGATCTAGAATATCTAGATCGAGATCAATATCTAGATCTAGAATATCTAGATCTAGAATCCAAATAGATAAAATAATTTTTTTAAGGGGCCACTACACCCTGTAAACCAAACTAGCCCACAGCAGAGATAAGCAAGTAACAATATACTATTATTAATAGTTAGCAACTGTAAATAAAAATTCCACATTCTCAGGACCTAATTATGCATGGTTGCCATGGTAACGGCGGCCATCTTGAAAAAAACACCTTTTTTACAAATCTAATGTTTCAATAATGTGAACAAATAATGATGGTTTTATTTCTGTTTATTTAACTAGAACCATTCTAGAGTGTACAGTAGCAGTTTGTTTTCATTAAAATGTATAAGAAACATTTTTTTCAATTTTTATAAAAAATGTATCATTCAAAACAAGGCATACAAGTTATGAAATTTCTTAAAAATAAAAATGTACACAATGCACATCATTCTCACATGCATAGTTACACCATAAAATGAATAATGAAAAAGTACACCAAGTTTCAAGACATTATCTCTGCAAACAGCTAAAACATTAGAGTTACAATAAGCAAAAATCTTGAAAAAACAAGTTTTGAGAAAATTAACTTTTAAACATTTAAAGTGCCATAAAAAAAATCTATCAGCAATATCAGGAAGAAACTTTTAGTATTCAAAGTTCAACACAAGCAGTTGAAAAATAAACCATTGCCAACTATAGTTTGCACATTCTTCTGAAGTTTTACCACTTATAATCTTATAGTGGTTAAGTGTGCACAATTCCGCAGTTTACTTGCACTAAAAGTTAAACCTTTCTGATCAACTATTGACATGTGAAGTTGCTATTGTCTTTTTCCCAGACTAACGCAAGCTTGATATAGTACATTTTAGCATATTTGAACTATAGTTTAATACAAATTTGACAAATAATGTACTAATAATATTCACATACAACTTTAGCTTATGACGACATTCATAATTCTGCTTGAAGAGGGTGAGCTCAATAACTTGACATCATAAGTTTTTTTTAGTAGATGGGCACTTTGCTGCTGTATTGCTCTTAAGTTTTAGTACAAACAGCATTTATCTTGCTAATAAAAACATAAGCAGCTTTAGTGTACTTACATAGTAGTATCGCAGCAAAACTTTGCGCAACAGTATGTAAAATGATGAGAGATTCATTGGTTTTTTTTCAAATCCATTCACCAAGTAAACATCTGAATTTTGAGAAACTAACACCACTGTCTTTATAGATAACATGGCTCTAATATTGACATCATGATGTAGGTGTATCTAAAGTGAGCTTCTTGTAAACCATGAGGTCAAATTTACATTTCATGACATCACATTTCCTTGCGGAAAGCCCCAAGTTTTATCCACAATGCTTGCACAGTCCTAATTGTGGCATATCTTCTGGATATGTAGATGTCAGCAAGCAAATAATGTAAGGGACAGTTATATTTCTTGATTCTTGTTTGCAGTCAAAACTGATTTGGGTTCAACACAACCAGCTTTTTTGGCATTCATTGTAGGAATTGTTGGACTGTAAAATAAAAATAAAAGAACAACTTTTATTTAATTTTAAAAAGTTAATAATATACATAACTAGAATGACTAATATTAGCAGTAACTCATCCTATTGTAACAACCTAATAATGTCATAGTCAACAAAATTGTATTTTGAAAAACTAATCATAATGAATAGTCAATAGGGCTTATATTATTATACTGACCATAGATCAAAACACAAGGAATAAATCTAACCATAAATTTAGAAAACTGCTTATACTAAAATTTAACCAATACTTATATTTTAGTCAATACTCAGCAAACACAGATGTTAATTTCTAAATATACAACTACTATCAACTAGAATCTAGATCTAGACTATTCTAGACTAGATCTAGAAAATTCTAGATCTAGGTCTACTAGGTTCGTGGGTCGTTATGACTGGGTTCTACAGTTTCATTTATTTAAAAATAGTAATTGACAAGCGTGTTTAACATTGGTAAAGAGTTAACTAAATTAATTCTTATAAAGGAATTAAGCTGTACTACTAGACAACATATTAGAAAATCTAGTAGATTTAGAAACTAATGTCAGCGCGTCAGTCAGTGAGATATCGCTGTGTAGTGGCATGGCGACTTCACTAGATCTAGAATCTAGATTTAGCGTCTAGTTATTAAAAAAAAATTACCTTCAAATTTCTTTCGCTGAACAATGTACTCCTGTCATGGTATCTGTTATTTCGAGCAATAACAGCATTATTTACACGCCATGTTGAAAACAAATGGTTTGTTATTGCAAAAATTGATGTGAAGACAATCACGTAGCCACGTTTGTTTGTTGACAAAAATCCGTCGAACTCGATCACTACGCATGCGCAGAAAGGTCATTACTAAGGTACGGCTTGAGAATACAAATCGGACCAATGAAATCGCTTGATTTGCGAAATCTTTTATTGAAATATCACATTTGCAAGTAAAATAACTGTATTCGAATGTAGAGTATCGTTTACGGCTCAAACAGACGAAAAAAATGATATATAATATACTATATTTTTCTTTATAGTTGCTTTATAAAAATCAACTCAAAATTTCAGATATTTGATTAAAAAGTTGATTTTTTAAGCAGAGGGTGGTGTCTTTAAAATTATTATTAAAATAGAAAAATGTATCGTACAAGTATACTTGAAACTGTTTTCGATTCTAGGAATATGAAATTTATTAAAACATCAATTTCCTAAAAATATTTTTTTCCAAGTTAAATTAGCATTTTTTACATGTAGAGGCCCCTTAAGTTTAGGCCGAGAAAATCGTATTGTATAGGATAGCGTACATAGCTCTAAATCATATTTGAATGAAATAGTTCATTTCTTTTTATTCTAAACTCGGAAGATGACGTCATCAGTTTCGTGCTCTTTTTTTTTTTTTTTTTTTAAACTTTTATTTGCAATTTAAAACAAGTACATCAACATCAAATTCTTACATAATTTCGAACATCAAATGAAAACGAAATAATAATACAATATTTTACAATATATTACAATAGTAATATTTCTTTCTTACTTGTAGCCTGCTTTCATTCATTTAAGATGGTTTACATATACATAGATGTAATACAAAACGTCTAAATATAAAGAAAAATTAAAAATTAAAAACCAACCTGAAACTGAAAATGCAAATGTGTAATTAAAATTAAATGATGATTCAAGGGATTTTTTTTTCTCGGCGTGGTGGGCTGAGGGGACGAGGGGGGGAGAGGGGGATTTTTTTTTTTAAAGTAGAGCTGAAATGAATTTGGATTACAGAGAAGTAAAATGATACAAATTTTAAGCAATCGGAAAAGTTATGTTATTACAATGAGACACGTAAAAGCAAACACTCTTCCCTTTCAAACATCTATATCTATACAGTCCTCAATTAGTTTTTTTTTCCTTTTTATTTTTGTTTTGTTTTATTAATTCAATTGTTTTAAACATTTAAATCAGTAATAATTATTTATTTGATAGATTTTACACAGCATCAAAGACATGAACATCAATTGCATATATAATAATCAAATGGAGAAAATAAAACGGCATAAGAACTGGACTAAAATAAGGTGTGCAAACTAGGTTTCTCTTGACTGCTTAGTTTACTGTGCTTTGTCCTTAGCTGAGGAGTCAAAAGTTCACATTGTAGCCGCCCATGGACAGAAATAGAAACGACCTTGGGAGAAGTGTCTCTGCAGTACACATACTGATCCATCAT